GTTTTTTTGTTTATGTTTACAAAAATTTTATAAACTGGTTTTTATTTATTTTTAGAAAAACATAAATTACAAACGCGTTTGGTTTGAACAAAATGTTTAAAAAATTTTAAAAACATAAAATAAAAAATATGTTTGTTCAGACCTAAAATATTTATATTTATTTTTATTATTTATGACAATGGGATCACACATATTATAATTGAAAAAAAAATAATGGAAAAATTTTAATTTAAAAAAAATTAATTGAAAAAAAAAATTAACTGACAAAAAAATATTTGAAAAAAAATATAATTGGGAAAAAAAATATCTGAAAAAAATTTAATTGAAATAAAAGATTAATTGAAAAAAAAATTAATAAAAAAAAAATAATTTGAAAAAAAATATTTAAAACTATTGATCTTAATTTCATATAATTGATTATTATTTTCTATTATAAATTATTATTATATATATTTAATATTGGTCTCAATTTTATAAAATAGAATTTATATATATTAAAAATTATATATGTTTGATTTGAGTGTGTGAATGTTGTGGGTGTGTGTGTCAAAGAGAGAGAGAGAGAGAGAGAGAGAAAAGAGTGTGAGTGCGTGATGTGATTTTGTTTTTTTATTGAAAACGTATTTTCAAAACACGTTTTCACGTTGCACTGAAAACGCTGGTACAAACAGCGTTTTCTTAATTAAAAGCGTGTTTTGTAACCACGCTTTTATGATTTTATTTATTTTGTACGCCTGGGTCAGAAATATGCTGAATGTATATTTTGTAAACACGCTTCACCTTATTCTGGGAATTTCAGCCAAACTAGACTTAGTTTGAGAAAAAGCTTAGTGGGTAGGCATAGTTTGGAAAAAGCCCCAATTTGACCTCTACCATTAACTAAACGTTAAGAATGGTTAGCTGACCTCACTAAAATATAAATTGATAGATAATATTATCCTTGCTGAAATTCCTTTGATAAATCAACAAAATTTACAAAAGAATTACAGTACGTTAGACCAAAAAAAAAAATTAAGTTTTTAGAACTATGTTTGATTTGTTGTTTAGAAGAAAAAGAAATTAGATTGAAAAATAAATAAAACTAATTTAATAAAAATAAATATGAAAAAATATATTTAATTTGTAAAAATTATTTCTAACCACTCAAAAGATAAAATTATATAAAATAATAATTATTTTTTATTTTTTAACCAAATTATTTTTTTTAAATAAAAATAAATTTATAAAAATCAAACTAAACATATTCTAGGAATTTTCTAAGAAATTTGGCTTTTAATTATAGAAATTATGAATTAAAAAAATTATACAAATTTGTAAGGAGTTTGACTTTTAATTCTAAAAAATATGTTTATTTAAAAATATGTTCATTTTATAAAATCAAACTAAACAAATTCTTAGTTTATTTAGAAATCAAAAATTTAATTCTACCATTTAATTTGAGTGTATTGTTTGGTTATAGCTTTAGAAAATTAATTCTACACTCATTTTTTAAAATATTTTTCAAAATACGAACTTTTCAGTAGCATATGTCACATCACTCAATTCAATTTTTTTTTTAAAACTCATAACCGAACAAATTTTTTACATTTAAATCATAATTTCAAAACTCATAAATTTAAAATACAACTCTATTCTCAAATCATAATTCTAAAATTTTACCAAACACAACCTAAAACTTTTGAACGTATGAGAATCTAATGTTGGTAACAGTTGAGGGAAAAACTGTGCTGTGTCACGTCAACAGTATTTTTTTTGGGGTCGGAAAAGGAGCTGGCCAAGTTTGGGAAGACTAAATAAGTGCACTTTTGGACTTTTTTTGTATTATGTGTAGAAAAAGTAGAGAGGAGATGTTGATTGATGTGACCCAAAAAAGATAAAAAGATGAAATAAGTGCACTTTTTTAGGTTAGCCAAACTTGGCCTTTTTCGTCATTTATTATCTCAACATCATTTTAAATTAAAATAGCCTAATAATAAATAAAAAAATTTAAAAAATAATCACTTCCTAAACGAGACAAAAATTCAATATATTTATATTAAACTTGTAATTCTTAATGTATTTTTTCAAATTTCATTACGAGTTAATGTAGTTTATCCCATTTTTTTCTTTCTATTTTTATCCCAAGAGTATTTAATTTTTCTATGCCCTCTAATTTTTATTTTTATTTTAAAAAAAAAAAAGCAAACCAACGCCGAATTTGACTTGCTCAATTTGTATGGTTTGGTCCACTTTTGCGATGACGGTATCAAAAATATTAGAGGTTTTGAAAATTTTACTAAAAGTTTTACCAAATGTCTTACATGGGTGTCAAATCTATATGAAACTCACATTGTGTAAGTCCTACACTCATGTGAGATATTTAGTAAAATTTTTGATAGAATACTAGTAGTAACTCGTTCTATGCATGGGACTTCATAAATTTAACCAAAAAAAATCATTATGATTATCTTAAAGTAATTTAATATTGAGATAATTACTTAAAAGTCCTATCTATATATTTGGTGGTAGCTTAGGTCCTATCAAAAAAATTTTGAACCAATAAGTCCCATTTAGAAGTAAAAAGACGTTTTTGCCCTTTAAGATAAACAACTGTATATAAAATTTCATTCACGTTATTTACTAGAAAGAAAAAAAGAATCAGTTAACAGATCAGTTATGGAAGTAGTTAAAGATTCGAATCGTGAACGATCTTGAAGGATTTATTGCTTTGGTTCACTATTATACGTAATTGATTTCTCGATTTTGATTCAAATAGAAAGGATTTTGAAGGATTTCTTAGTTTGGTTCGCATTTTGAGTTGAAATCTGTTGGAGTTTGTTATATGCGATTTCGATTTGTAAATTGAAGAATTGATTTGCTGGATATTTGATCTTCGATCTGTTTATAGGTATGTATTGTTTCAATTTTGTATATTATGTTTTTTTAGAATTTTCTTTAGTTTTGATTGAATTTATTTATTAGAATATGTTGAATAATTTTGTTTTAACGAATTGAAGACGTGATTTGCTGGATGATTTCTCGGTTTGGTTATTTATTTTATGAATTGAAAACGTGATTTGTGAAGTATTTGTATTGTTATGAAGTTTTTTGTTCTGATGTTTATTGTTATGAAGTATTTGTGAAAACTGAGAAAGTTCTTAGTATTGTTCTGGTTTTGATTGATGCGATCTTTTTTTCTTGTTTAGATTGAAAGATGAGTGAAGGTTGTACAAGTGTGCCTATTTTTTTGTTGGGCAAGTATAATGGTTGCACATTTGCAATTAAGATTGATCAAAATGTTACATATAATCAGTTGGTTGAGAAGCTATGTTTGAAATGGGATAATTTGCAATCTGATAATATTTGTTTATCTTACTCATTGCTTGGACATCCTAATTGTACGTTGGACAATAATGAGGAGTTAGATTTGTTGTTGGCATTAGTTGTGCATTTTTATTCAAAGTGTATTGATGTTGTTGTTCGAGTAAAAGACTCAACCATTGACTGTGGTTATCTCAACAACAGATTGGATTATGGAGAAAGAGAGTCAATGTTGGATCTTGAAGTTTGTGATATTGCATTGTCTCATGACAGCAGTAAGTCTGTGAACTTGTCAAACAAAGCATCTACATCTTCCAAAAGGAATTCGAGGTTGGAGGTTGAAGAAGAGGTTGATATGTTATCATCATTTTGTCGACACAAGGGAAAAGTACTGTTGTCTGCTGGTTGGGCTGTTAGTATTACACATGTAGGACAGAAATTTAAAGGTGGAATTGTTGAATTTCATAATGCATTGTCGAAGTTTTCTATTGAGTGTGGATTTGAGTTCATATTTGTTAAGAATGATAAAGTTCGTGTTACTGCACAATGTTTGTTTAGAGAGAAAAGGTTGTATGTGGAATGTTCATGGTAGAGTGAAGAATACTAATGGGTTCTTTTGTATAAGGAAGTTGAACAATGTCCACACATGTGGTGCTGAAGTACGCACGATGACTCATTCTCGTATGAGTTCTAATTTAGTTGCTGATTTGATTGTTGAAGGTGTTCGTGATAATCCATTGACACGTCCAGTTCATGTTGTTCGGGGATTTTAAATTGGGGTATGGGCTGAGAGTTAGTTATTGTCAAGCTTGGTTGGGGGTAGAGAAAGCAAAAGTTGAGATTTTTGGAGACTATTTAATGTCATTTGACCAGTTAAGATGGTATGTGGATGTTGCAAAGAGTTGCAATCCAAGGAGTTACATTGAGTTTGAGTGTGACGATGATACTAAACGGTTTAAGAGATTATTTGTTTCTTTTCATGGTTCCATTAGTGGATTTGATTATTGTCGGCCTCTCTTATTCCTTGATGGCACATTTTTGATGGGAAGATTTAGAGGAAATTTACTTTCTGCTATAGGAAAAGATGGAAATCAAGGTACATAAGAAATTTGTTTTCTCTGTTCTGAAATTGAGAAAGTTCTCAGTTTAAAAATATGATTGAATGTTTTAAATTTTATATAATATTGTTGTTGTATATGCATTTTTTATTTTTTCAGTTATTCATTTTAGTGTTTGATATTTTGAATGTTAGAGTGTTACCATTTTCTAAGAATAATATAATATTTTTATTTTTTCTGTTTTGTACATGAAGGGTTCTTTCCTGTTTGTTTTGCAGTTGTTGGCTCAGAGAATCAAGATAATTGGCACTGGTTTTGGAGCATTTGAGTAGAATTGTTTCACCAAAACGAAATATTACATTTATGTCAGATCGTGACCTTGGATTAGTTGAAGTGTTGCTAAAGGTTTTCCCAATGGCTTTCCATACTTATTGTTTATATCATTTGAAGATGAACTTAAGGCATCATTTGCGTGCTATGTTTCATGGATTGAAAGAAAAACTGATCACTTTGTTTGGGAAATGTGCATATGCTCCAATTGAAGAAACATTTCATCAATGTTTGGTTGAGTTAAAGACTGGAGGTGGGTCAAGAGTTGAAATTTTTTTAGATGACATACCATATGATCATTGGAGTAATGCATACTTTCGAGGGCAACGCTTTGGAGAGATGTGGTCAAATGTAGCTGAATCTTTCAATTCGTGGATACGAGAGGAACGCCACTTGCCTATCACAAAGTTGATTGATAGTGTAAGAATTAAGTTGATGAGGAAAATTGCTAAGATGAGAGAACTTGTTAATAATGGAATGGTTTGATTTGCCCTAAAATGGAGTCCAAGTTGCATTATGGTTTTAATACTTCGAGGTCATGGATTGTTAGTTCATCTGGAAATGATGTCTATGAGGTGCATTCACATCCATCTGTTTCAGTTGACATTAGTAGACGAATATGTTCTTGTGGCGAGTGGCAGTTGAAAGGGTTTCCATGTGCACATGCAGTTGGTGCTATACAAAAGAGTGGACATGATTTGTGTTTATTTGTTGATCAATACTTCCATGTTCAAAGTTATCGAGAGTCCTATTCTTTTCCCACATATCCTGTTCCTTCAATTTGGAAACCAGATTGTAATGTTGACGGTGATAGTGAAGTTGTTCTTCCTCCTTTGTCCAAGAAGCAACCAGGAAGGCCAAATAAGAAGAGGATTCGTTCAAATGATGAGAAAGTGAGGCAAATTACTTGTAGTAGATGTGGGAAGGTTGGCAATCACAATAAGAAATCGTGTAAGGAGGCTTTGTGATTTTTTGTAACTGTTTTGTGATTGTAAAAATTTCATATTCATAAATTTCTTGAAGTAGCAGTTTGTACTGTTGAGAGCTAAATAATAATCTTCTATGTTTTGAATAAAGTAACATTGAATTGAAAGTGAAAATATTCTTAGTTTCGAATTTTAGTTTTTGAAATTGTTTGTGATAATATTGTTTGGTTGGCTTTCGGAAATAAACTTGACTGTTGAATATTTGTTTTGCAAATTATGTGAATACTGTATAAAAAGTGAACATATTCTCAGTTTAAGTTTTTAGTTCAAAATTGCTGATTTTGTGACAATAGTATGAGTCTCTTGTTATGAATTGGAACTAGTTATAAATGTGATGAATTGAATGAGTGTGAATTAATATTCTAAATAGATGTGGTCAATGCTTTATGTTTTGATTAAAGTAACAGTGGACTGTAAGTGAAAATATTCTTTATTTCGAATTTTAGTTTTTCATATTGTCATAATATTGTGAGGCAACAAATAAATTGTTGTGATAATATTGTTTGGTTGGCTTTCAGAAATAAACTTGACTGTTGAATGTTTGTTTTGCAGATTATGTGAATATTATATAAAAAGTGAACATATTCTCAGTTTAAGTTTTTAGTTCAAAATAACTGATTTTGTGATAATAATGTGAGGCTCTTATTATAAATTGGAACTAGTTATAAATGTGATGAATTGAATGAATGTGAATTAATATTCTAAATAGATGTGGTCAATGCTTTATGTTTTGATTAAAGTAATAGTGGACTGTAAGTGAAAATATTATTTGTTTCGAATTTTAGTTTTTCAAATTGTCATAATATTGTGGCGCAGCAAATAAATTGTTGTGGTAATATTGTTGTTTGAAAATTGAGTGATCAGTATAAAACTAAAAATATTCTCAGTTTTAAAGTTTCTAAGTTTGAAAATAAGTGATTGAAACAATAATAAGTTTGAAAATATTCTCAATTTTAGTTTTATGCAGTGTTTTGTGAGGCAACAAAACACTGCATAAAAATTGAAAATATAAACAAAAACATCAACAAAGCATTGATTGTGATGCAGTAAAGTCTTGTGTCCACTATTTTCACATGTAATACTATTTTCGCTTTTGCCATATAGTAGTGTGAGGAACAGGATAATAGAAACTGAGAATATGGACAAAAACATCAACAAAGCTCGGGTGCATATATCTTTGAGAGTATGACAAAATATTCCATTACACATCATAAAAATTGTAATATGTTTGTTAGGTAATATGCTTGGAACTATTAACAAAAACATTAGTCATTGTATCAGAGTGTTACAAAAAAGAGTTCATTGAGTTACACATCAAAAAAGATTTCATTGAAGGTTGCAATCTTGACTCTACTTGACTTTGATTGATCTTTGTGGATCACTGAGGAACTCATATACCATGTCTACTCTGAGTCTTGTGGATGTGCCTGGTGGTAATGTATTTGGAATTGGTTGATGCCTCATGTATTGTCTTATGATGTAGCAAACAATAATTCCACAGTCATTTCTACAGAAATCATTTTTGACACAGTTAGGGAAAAAAGAAATTTTTTTTGAAAAAGATATTAAAATTTGTTAGTTAGAATAAATTAACATACGTCATTGCTTCTTGTTAAGGGCTGTCTTTGACTGATTCAATCTTGACATCTGGATTCCAGGCTTTTTCTGCTTGACAAGGTGTATCCCTCATGTATTGATGGATGATTTTTTGCTATAAAAAACATCAACATAAAGTATGTAATGATTTACATCTGATTATTGTAATGCTAATCTGAAATTGTTCGTACCAGTTGATTTGCAACGTTGTAGTGCTTGTCCTTTCCTTTTCTTGGTCTCAAAGAGTTGAAATGTTTCCAAGTCCCCAAGTGTTTGTCGATAACAAGTAATGTCCAATGATTGAAATTGTGGATGGGGATATGGATGTATCGACATGGGAGGGATTCTTGCAAAGTATTTTTCAAAATCTTTTTCCTTTGTTCTAAAGTTTTCTTCTTCAACATTGGCTGTTTTTTACAAAAAATATGTAAATATTCACAGTAATGGTACGAACTCAATATTCATGTCGATGAAAAGCAACAAAACATGATTAACTACGATTTGTCACTCAAATTGTTTTGAAATCTGAGTATATTCCCAGCAATGATACCAAAATCAAAATTTGAGAACATTCACAAGAATGATAACAAACACAAAAAATCTACTTTGAAACCAAAAATGAACGGAAGATAAAGTATAGAATTGACACATGCACATTGATTCCTTACCCAATATAGACTTGACAGTATGAAAGACTTGCCATTGTGCTCTGCTCCATCACTAGAATTCTGTGCTTGTGGTTCTCTTTGAAGAATCTCAGCATATGCATCAATTGTCTATCAAATTGAAACACAAAAGTGATGTTAACAAATTAATGAGAAGTTTTTCAGTGTTAAAATATTACAAATACTATACGTACACAGCTGGATATGTCTGTCCCTTTTACCAAGTTCTTGATATCATTAAAAAACACACAATTTTCATATCTTGTGCCAAACCATATACAAGCACTACAAAACAATAAAAAATGTGTTAATAATTAAGTCAGAATATTTTTAGAAAACAGAGCTATTTCTCAGCTTCATTTCATATATTTGTACTACATGAAAAATTGAAAAATTTATGCAAAATTATACCTTGATTCTGTTTGCTTTTCTTTCCAAAGAATTTGTAGTTTATATTTATCTTCAGGAGGTAGCAATTGAGCCATAGCATACTTGTTTGAAATTGTCTCATCTTTGTGTTCCTTTTCTTTCTCAACTTTAACTTTCTTGCCTCTATACTCATAATCAGACACCTCAGTAGTCTTCCTTGCTTTAGCTTTGATATTTTTAATCATGGAATTCTGTAGATTTGTTTGTCTTGATTCTGTTAGATCATCGGCTTTTATTGCACAAACTTGTTGGGTTAAGTCATGAACTTCTTCCTCTAGTAACTGATTCTGCAACTGAGAATTTTGACAATCTTTCACATTTGTATTTGTCTCACAATGTTTTGTTGCAAAAGGTTGTTGCGTTATCTCATGGACCTCTTTTTGATGGAGCTCTTTGTCCACAACTTCAGAATTTTCATGGACCTCTTTCTGATGGAGCTCTTTGTCCACCACTTCAGAATTTTCATGGACCTCTTTCTGCAGCACTTGAGAATTTTCATCGTTTATTGTATGACCTTCATTCTTTGCATCTGTCCCAGAATGTTTTACTGCACAAATTTCTTGGGTTATCTCATGGACCTCTTTTTCAACCAATTGGTTATGTAATCGAGAATTTTTATCTTTCAATTGTTGTATTTGTGCTGTGAGTAGCCTGTTATCCTCTTCTAGTTTATTTATGTAGATGGGCTTCACTATGTTGTCTAGTTGAAAATTGTTGTTCTCAATTTGAAGTTTCTCAAGTGTTTGTTGATGAATTTGTTCTTCTCCCTCAGGTGCATCATTGAGTATAATGTTGCAGAAGTCATTAAAGTCTTCATTTGCTGGCTTTTGTTCTTGGTGGCACTCTTCAGCATATTGACCATCTTCTTCTTCTTCTTCTTCAGTTTTTTCAGTATCTTGTTTTTGTTGTTCTTGTTCTTGTACTTCTTGTTATTCTTCTTCAACATCTTCTTGTTCTTCATTTTCAGCATTTTTAGCATCTTTTTTTTCTTCTTCTTCTTCAGTGTCATCAAGTTCTTTATCACTTTCCTCATTTAATTGAGCACTAGTTACCTGTAGGTCAACATACAATAGATATTAGTTTTTGAAATAATTGAAGTTTAGGAAACTAAAAAGTTTCTCAGTAATAATTCAGTGTATAAAAATAAGGATTTTTCCCAACTTGAATTGAAATTCAAATGAGATGAGGATGTGACATGTCTTGTTGTCAACTGATGTAGTGATATGACTTTCATACGTTTATGTAATTTGGCAAGATTCCACTTGATCACCCTTGGGCATGCTTTACTAACTTCAGGGTGAATGATCAGTGTATGCTCACACAACCAATTCTACAAAACAAATGTAAAGAATTTTTGTCATTTGAATAAGAAGTAATACTATATGTTATTAACAACAAACTAATAGAATAGAGTAAAGATGTACTTACCAAGAGAGCCATAACACATCCTGTGACTTTTGCTGGATTTTTGTGGTATTTTTCAATTGAAGACATCAGTGTGTTCCTTATTGCTTCTGCCCAATTGTATTTTCTCATTGAGTTTATGTCTTCTATGTAATTAAGAAATACCCATCCAACTGTTGTTCCTGATGTAGAGAAAAAAAGCTTCAAACAAGTATACATACACAGCATCCTCATCACATCTTCAGTGTCTTCTTTCTTCTTGCCTTTCAATGCTTTTTGCAACAAGTCTATGATGGTTGTGCTCGATAGCCTTTCAGTTTGTATGTATCTTCTTGTCAGAAATGATGATCTTCTTTTATTTTCATAACCAAGATGTATCGGCTCATCTCCACAAGATATACCGAAGATGGACTTGATGTCTTCTGTTGTTAGCTTTACAATTTCTGGTCCTAACTGTGAAGAACCACTGCTGCCTAGCTGGTATGTTTGAATTATTTTTAAGGAAATGTCATCATATTTGCTGCATTGTTTACAATTTATCTTGTTTTTCAATATTGCATCAAACAATGCCCAAAATGGGGTTTTCTTCAAGCCATTAATATGTTCATTCCTGAGTTTGATGTGCTGTAATAGCGTCACTATTGCCACCATGTTTGATCTGAAAGTTTGTTCTTGTACTTTTTGTTCTTCTTCTTCAGCATCTTTTTGTTCTTCGTCTTCAGTATTTTCAGCATCTTCTTTTTGTTCTTCTTTAGTGTCATCAACTTCTTCATCACTTTCCTCACTGAATTGAGCAGTAGTTACCTGTAGGTCAATATACAATAGATATTAGTTTTTGAAATAATTGAAGTTTATGAAACTAAAAAGTTTCTCAGTAATAATTCAGTGTATAAAAATAAGGATTTTTCCCAACTTGAATTGAAATTCAAATGAGATGAGGATGTGACCTGTCTTGTTGTCAGCTGATGTAATGATTTGACTTTCATACATTTATGTAATTTGATAAGATTCCGCTTGATCACCCTTGGGCATGCTTCGCCAACTTCAGGGTGGATGATCAGTGTGTGCTCACACAACCAATACTACAAAGCAAATGTAAAGAATTTTTGTCATTTGAATAAGAAATAATACTATGTGTTATTAACAACAAACTAATAGAATAGAGTAAATATGTACTTACTAAGAGAGCCATAACACATCCTGTGACTTTTGTTGGATTTTTGTGGTATTTTTCAATTGAAGATATCAGTGTGTTCCTTATTGCTTCTGCCCAATTGTATTTTCTCATTGAGTTTATGTCTTCCATGTAATTAAGAAATACCCATCCAACTGTTGTTCCTGATGTAGAGAAAGAAAGCTTCAAACAAGTATACATACACAGCATCCTTATTACATCTTCAGTGTCTTCTTTCTTCTTGCCTTTCAATGCTTTTTGCAACAAGTCTATGATGGTTGTGCTCGATAGCCTTTCAGTTTGTATGGATCTTCTTGTCAGAAATGATGATCTGCTTTTATTTTCATAACCAAGATGTATCGGCTCATCTCCACAAGATATACCAAATATGGACTTGATGTCTTCTGTTGTTAGCTTTATAGTTTCTGGTCCTAACTGGAAAGAAGAACCACTGCTGCCTGGCTGGTATGTTTGAATTTTTTTCAATGCAATGTCATCATATTTTCTGCATTGTTTATAATTCAACTTGTTTTGCAATATTGCATCAGACAATGCCCAAAATGGGGTTTTCTTCAAGCCATTAATATGTTCATTCCTGAGTTTGATGTGCTGTAATAGCTTCACTATTGTCCCCATGTTTGATCTAAAAGTTAATTTCCATTCTCTACACTTTCCTTTTTGCTTTTTATCCGTTGAAGTTGATTTTGTATGCTTTCTTATCATTTTCTTTGCATTAGTTTTTAGTCTTGGGGTTTTCATGAGTTGTTTTCCTGTACAGAAAATCAACATAGACAAGATATAAATACTGAGAATGTTCCCTAAAAGAATCAATCCAATGTCATTCTCATGAAGTCTAAGTTTGATGACATTCATGGCTATAAAAACAAAATCAACATTGAAAGTTTAATTGAAAGCAAGAGAAGATTATTAACTAGGGTTTTTCACTCAAATTGATTCAGAATATGAGAACATTCACAACAATCGCAGCAAAAATCGACATTGAAACTTAAATTGGAAGCAAGAGAACATGATTAACTAGGGTTTTCAGTTTAATTGATTGAAAACTTGAGAAAATTCACAACAATCATGTCAAACTCAATATTGAAACTTAAATTGAAATCAAGAGAATATGATTAAGTCTGGGTTTTCACTCAAATTGACTAAGAATCTGAGAACATTAACAGCAATCGTACAAAAATCAACATTGAAACCTAAATTGAAAGCAATAGGATATGATTAACTAGGATTTTTTATTCAAATTGATTCAGATTGAAACCCAAATTGAAACCAAGAGAATATGATTCACTAAGGTCTTTTTACTCAATTTGTCTAAGAATCTAAGAACATTCACAGCAATCACACCAAAATCAACAATGAAAGCTAAATTGAAACCACTATAATATGATTAACTAAAGTTTTTCACTGAAATTGATTGAAAATATGAGAACATTGACAGCAATGGTACCACACTCAACATTGAAACTTAAATTTAAAGGAATGGGATATGATTAAGTAGGGATTTTCGCTCAAATTGATTCAGAATATGAAAACATTCAGAGCAATAGCAGCAAAATCAATATTGAAACTTAGATTGGAAGCAAGAGAACATGATTAACTAGGGTTTTCAGTCAAATTGATTGAAAACTTGAGAAAATTCACAACAATCATGTCAAACTCAATATTGAAACTTAAATTGCAATCAAGAGAATATGGATTAAGTCCAGGTTTTCACTCAAATTGACTAAGAATCTGAGAACATTAACAACAATCGTACGAAAATTAACATTGAAACCTAAATTCAAACCAAGAGAACATGATTCACTAAGGTTTTTTACTCGAATCGTCTAAGAATCTGAGAACACTCACAAGAATCATACCAAAATCAACATTGAAAGCTAAATTTAAACTAGAGAGTAAGATTCACTAAGGTTTTTTACTCAAATTGTGTCACGACCCCAAACCGCCCCTAGTAGTTTGGTGCCGTAATGGCTAGTAATCTGGGATTACCAAAGGCCAACTTTCAAAAACTCAACACAATCAGAGTGTAATAAACGGGGCTCACAAATGCGGAAGCAATAATCTAAAATACGAGTGGTCCATAAGAGCTGTGCATAGATCAAATGCAATGTCATTCATCTTACAACTTGAATACAACAAAACAAAATACGTATTACATCTTGATCAAAAGGCTTCTTGAGCCGACATATACAAAATACAGCAATTACAAGCCAAGAAGCATGATTTTCAAGATTCGCCGACATGAGATAAATGGCATCGCCGACGTGAATACAAAAAAAAACAAAGCCGACATGATCATGAATCCAAATAAGCTTTCAAAAACAGTCTAGGCATCGCCGACGTCCTGCTCATCACCTACATATATATAGAGAGGGTGAGCTTGGATACTCAGTAAATGGTACTAATAATAAAGGTTTGCATGAATATAGCCAGAGTCTTTCAAACAAACGCATCAAACTTTATCAAGACAAGGGATGAACCGTATTCATCAATCAAATATTACAAGTATCAAGGGATGCTTACTGACATCGGCGAAACAAGGGATGAACCGTATTCATCAATCAAATATTACAAGTATCAAGGGATGCTTACTGACATCGGCGAAACAAGGGATGAACCGTATTCATCAATCAAATATTACAAGTATCAAGGGATGCTTACTGACATCGGCGAAACAAGGGATGAACCGTATTCATCAATCAAATATTACAAGTATCAAGGGATGCTTACTGACATCGGCGAAACAAGGGATGAACCGTATTCATCAATCAAATCTTACAAGTCTCAAGGGATGCTTACTGACATCGGCAAAACAAGGGATGAACCGTAATCATCAATCAAATCTCACAAGTATCAAGGGATGCTTACCGTCGTCGGCAAAACAAGGGATGAACCGTATCCATCAAT